CAAGTGTCCTGCCTATTGCCACTTGAGAGATTTGATTCTGTGGATGACATCTATTACCTGGATTTCTTGTCGTATCCACTCTATTTTTTTACGGTCTCTCTTGGTTATTCCCAGCTTTGAGGTTCTTTTGTTTGAAAATTAAACAATTATGTTAAGAGATGTGGCAGATGACCCACCATTTGTGACGATCAACACACTGAGGAAAGCTATAGGAACTACAATCAAGGCCAGGCAGCAAGAGACGTGACAACACCACTAGACTGAAGATTGCGCTACAGCTCGAGGACTGTGGCCAGTGATAGATAGCAAATAGGCCAAACAACTACTAGAGCACAAAAAGAACCTAGTGCGCATAATTGTAGGTGTAGTCACTGGAAACTGTCCCACGGGGGGTAAATCTCGTGAGATGGAAGAGTTCCAACGACGATTACTGCAGAGAATGCGGAGAGGAAGAAGAAACCATAGAGCACCTGCTGTGCAACTATCCGGCACTGGAATACCGACGCTTTAAAACTTTAGGGCAAGGTTTTTTGGAGGGACTAGAGGAAGCAGCAGAAGCCAGCATCAGCGACAATATCGCAATGGACCCAAGGCATCCGAGTGAAAGATCAAACTAGAGTTGCCTAACCTTACCTAACCTAAACCATTACGTCATAAAGAAGTGTGTATCTGAGTTAATTTAATTATGATAAAAACACAAATTTTAAAACTATATAATACTTTCATTTTTTGTAAGCTTCCTACTAAAAATTCTTTCAGTTTTACTGAAACATTTTTATCCCATTTTTTCGAGTACACTTTTAAAACTACGAAAGCGACCTGAACTTAGAGTTTCAACTCGAAAAGAGATATTTTTCCGGCAAATCTAAATATCGAGCCCGAACGTAGTTTTAAATTTATTGCCGGCCTTCTAAAATTTAAAAGTACACTTTAAAACTATCAAACTTTACGAGTACGGGAAATAATTCATAGTGCGACGTTTTTCGGATGCTGCGGATGTTAAATTGATTTGTTACGAGTTTCTATTTTCGGCTGCGACTGCTTATTTTGCTTGTGTGGTTTGTTTTTTGTTCGGAAAACCACGAAGACTTGACGTTATTGCTTTTGAAGGGAAATAAAAAATCCGTTCTCTAAAAACGTCATTAATATTATTCTTTTCAACGCCTGTTTTCCGTGCCTGAAATAAAGTGTTCTCAAATAGTTGCATTTAAATATTTTAAATAGTTTTCTTCTTTGTTCTTTGTATTTTTTTGCTTCCGACGACGGAAAGAGATAAACTTTCCGAAACGTTAAGCATTTTTTGTCCGTTAGGCAAATTTGTTTATTGGTAGACCACTGCTTACAATTAGTCTCCGTTGGATTATCGCCCAGCTGTGTTTACAAAAAATAACTATTTTATTTTGTAGATTTTCTTGCAATGGCGAAATACCCAAATAGATTTTTTTAGAGAGATGAATTCGCCACATAGATATAGACATTTTTTATATGTCTATGATTTAATTATTTTTATATCTAATACTCTTACTAAAAATATGATGACCGTATTATTATACAGGATGTCCCAATATTTTAATTTAAAATTTAAATAACTTTAATGGAAGGAAAACGATTATTTCCTTGCATTAAATTTGCACATGAAATTAAGAACAACGACATATTACCATTTCTAGATGTATTAGTTATTAGAAATACTAATAATTGCCTGGAATTTGATATCTATAGAAAAAATACCACTACACGCAGATATATTCCTAATGAATCATATCATAGTATTGAACATAAAATGGCTACTTTAAATTTCTTAGTTCATAGGTTACTTAATTTTCCACTTTCCAACGAAAGATATGAAATAGAAAGAGATTATATTAGAAATGTAGCTGAGTGTAATAGATATTCTCCTTCACTAGTTGATAAAATAATTAGAAAACGTAGGTATAGGTTAATGATTATTTCTGAAAATTCGACTTTTCAAGTGGAGAAAGATACGTCAAGATATTTTTCAATACCGTTTGATAGACAGTTACCCCGTGGTCTAAAAGGAATTTCAATGTCAATTATAAACTTGTGTATAGTGCTAATAATAAATTACAACAATTATTAGGTAATCCAAAGGATAAAACACCTCTACTGGAAAGGTCGGGTATTTATGAAATTTCTTGTAAAAATTGTAATCAGAAATATGTTGGGCAAACTAGAAGATCAATATTAACTAGATTTAAAGAACATTTAACTCAGATAAGATATGGTAGACCGGATAAATCTTGCGTTGCCGAACATATTGTTGATAAAGAACATTGTATAGATCTTAATAATTTAAAATTAATTAAACAAGTCTCAAATTCCAGGCAATTAGATGCATATGAAAGCATCAGAATTAATAAATGTAAAGATAGTATGAACAGAGACAACGGTCCAATTCCTTCAAGTTCTTTGTTCCTACTACTCTAGTGGCGGAAATTTAACTGTTACGCTCGGTGGGCTCTGACTCGGTTGGCTAGATCTTGCCACGCCCACTCGGTGCCCACTGAGCGAGTATATAAACGCTCAACTTGTAGATTGTATTTTAGTTTATAATCATCTGCTGATGATGCTAACATGGTTAGCAAAACGCGCGTCCAGTATAAAAGTAAAAAGTGTTTTGGTGTATTGTGGTGATTTAGTGTTTTTGTTTTTATTTTACTGTGTAACACCAAAGGTTCCAACCCTCAACTGTAATAATTCTCAAAATTTTTTTATTTTAAATGGTTTTTTCTTTGTTCTTTGTATTTTTTTGCTTCCTACATTTTTTATATGTCTATGGTTTAATTACTTTCAAATCTAATATCTATCTTACTAAAAATATGTTAACCGTATTATTATACACGATGTCCCAATATTTTGTGGAAATAGAACTAATACGTATTTGTTCTATGTCCAAGAAATATTGGAACTCCCTGTATATTTTGTAGGTCAGTTTTGGAAAAAAAATCTTCAATTTTTTTTCTCAAAAACGAAGCTAAGTATGTGATGCTTTTTTAAAGAGAGAAAAAATGTATTAAATACTATGTCCACGGAATTTTGGGACATCCTGTATATGTCAAATACAATAATAGAGGTAAACTTAATACTAAATATAAAATAAAATTTTGGATAAATATTAATGATTCGAATGGTATCAATGATGTAATCCCATGCTTAGGACATGCTACTGGTCAAAACAAACATCCCTTAATCTGTGGATTAATAATATTTGAGGGTACCATTAATATATTTCCAAAAATAAAATGAAACGGTAAATCCTGGCATTAACCTTTTCAAAAACGAATTTGCATATTATTCTAATCTGGCGATTAGAAACTCGATCAATTTTGGGAAGGGAAGACAGAGAGAATCACAAAAAAGACAAACGGGTGATTCTAATCTAAGTGTGTCTTTTAATGTCCTGTATACTATTTCCTCTTAGTCGTACACTCTGAGTAAAAAGAAAATTGAAATAACGTGTCTATGTAAAACTAAACATATTTTTTTAAATTCATTACATCCATTTTTAAGACACTCTGTATACATAAAGCATTATTGATTTTTAAAATATTTATACACAACCTAGAGAGAGAGAGAGGGAAATCGGACAATGAGCAGAGACGATAGGTGTTAGGTAATAGATCCTAGACTACCGTTCAAGACGCGTTGATGTTATTTTGGTTTCTAAGTTTTGGTTATTGTGACAAAGAATGTTATTAAAGGTAAAGCAAATGTTTCCTTATTATTTAACTAGTATTACCTAATGCATATTTTCTATTTTTCTGTTTAAATATTATAAAAAAAGATTTTTCTTATTTATTTGATCTGACAATAGTATTATATAACATATGTATATATTTAATATATTCGAGATATGCTGTGAATAATTTCTAGTAAAATTAAATCTAAAAGCAGTCGTTTACTGTACATTTGTGCCGAGGTTTTTGGTACAGTATGACAATAAGAGCCTTCTTGAGTATACCAACATTTGACTGGACGAATATCTTCAAGTTAGCAGTCAAAACCAAAAAATAGTATAACTCATAGTCATATAATATATTAAAAAATATAATATTGCTTCTGTCGAGCGTGTATATCAGTTATCGTGTAGTATTCATTTACACGAAGTAACATTTTTAAGAGAATCGCCCAACTGGGGCTTCTCTAAATTCGTAATTAATGAACGTTTTAATTACCTATCGATAATTCGAGTACGGCAAATCACTCTAAGTGCCATTTTGAGCCATTTTTATAAGATGAGAATAGTCATTTGTCTCAAAAGGTTTAATTACTTCGTCTTTTCTTTTAATTGTACTAAAGTCTTTACTGTTTTATAATTAATTTGAATTATTTGCTGAAAATCATTTCAAGATATTCTTTTGTGTTTGAACGTAGCACAAAAATAATTTAATACTATGTATCTTAATTAAGTTTTCTTTTGTTTGTTTATATCCTTTTTTTATAATTCTCCAAACAAATGAAATAATAAATTATACTCTAACTTTGACTCGAAATTATTTTTATACAGAATTTTTATACAGGGTGTCCCAGAAATAAGTGCAAGTATTTTAACTGGTAGTAGAGTTCGACCCCAGAAACACGCGTATGGTTTTTTTTCGCAAAAAAAAATTGAAAATTCCAAATTTTTTGGAATTTTTTTTAGTTTTTAGTTAAAAAAAATAATTTCTTGATAATATGGCAACATGGGTATTAGATTAAATTTACAAGAAAGAAAATCCAGAAAAGATCCAGTGGTTCTCAAAATTTTAGCAAAAAATCATTTTTTTTTGGAAATCTTCAAAATAAAATAACTCCGTTATTTTGGACTTATTTGAAAAACGATAAAGAGAAAATATGTTTCTTAACCCTTTACCTTATACGTGCACTTATTTCTGGGACACCCTGTATATCTAAAAGATTAGAAAATGTTTTAGGTTATATTAATAATTTTTTAGGCTATATTATTAATAATTAATTTTGTTTCTTTTATTTTGTTGCAGTTTATTTTCCGATCTGAGAAACTTATCCGGAACTACGCTACTCAATCTTATATCTACGCTTTTTATGACACAACTCCTCTACGTCATAGGAGTAGGAAGCGTGTTGGTAAGTAGAAAAGTAGTTTTTTTACAGTTTTATATCATTGATTTTATACATATTAATTTTATAAATATGTTCAAATGTAAAGATAGTATGAAGAGTGACAATGGTCCAATTTCTTCCAGTTCTCTGTTCCTATTGCTCTAGTTTCGGCAATTAATTGTTACATTCGCTTGGCTAGTTTTACTCAATGCAAAGAAACGCTAAATTTGTAGATATTAGTTTATTTTTAATCATTTGCTGATGGTGTTAAAATGGTTAGCAAAACGCTCGTCCAGTGTAAAAGTAAAAGTGTTTTGGTCTATGGTGGTGAATTAGTGATTACAGTAAATGCACTTGTAGTACGATAAAAAAACAGCGTCCAAGAAGCTGGGGGAATGACAATCAGTCATAATTTTGTCAAGATTAATCTTTATTATTTACTAAGAAATGAAATAAAACTTGTCAAAAAGCAGCATTAATTATAGAAAAATTGATTGAATATATAGAAAGAAAGATTGAAGTTTTTTAATCTACACAATTTAAAAAAAATATATTTTTTTCTCAATATAAAAATAAATTACAAACTTTTTTAGGCCAACTGGTAAGCGCCATTGAAAAATAAAGAAAAGTACGGGCCAAGTATGACGTCTAGGTCTTGACCTCGCCAAAATTATCATCGATTATTAGTCCTCAGCCATCTGTGACGCCATTTTTTTTGATCGTACGGTATTTTCGAGGCCTAATACTTCTGAAAATATTTGTACTTATTGTAACACAATATATAAATGAAATGACATAAAAACAAATGGTATTGTCCGATCCCCTGATGCAGAATTCAAACAAAAACCACAATCGCTCATTTTTCATAACGAGACAAACAAAGAGATTGGTAAAAGGCCTCTCTATGTGTGTTTTGGGCCTTTGTGGCGAGTTTTGCTTACAAAAAGGGTTGTTAGGCATAAATTATCCCCGGAATGCAACAGAGATACTGTTATACGTCCACATACAGACTGCAAATGCATTTTACGATATGCCACATATTGCGGTCTGCGTTTGCTGCAGCAAGGAAAATGTAATAAAGGTCTACGGAATGAATTTGACCTGTAAAAGATCAGTATATAGTCAGAGAATTATAATTTTAGCCCGTTTTTTTTATTCTTCTATAACTCCAATTTACTAAAACATGTGTTACCACATCGTAACAAAAATATTGTATTTTACTATAATTATTTATACATACATACATACATACTGCCATTACTCGCTGACGATTATTCGACACGCTTTGTTGACTATCCATAGCAGACTGGAGGAAAATATGACAGTTTATAATCAAGAACTGAAATCAGAACAGTACGGGTTTTGCAAGGGATGCTCCACCGTGCAGGCTGTTAAGAGAATTTTGCAGCTCGCTGAGAGCGCAAAGGCTGCTGGATACAGGCACAGGGAGACTTGCCTGATGGTAGCTTTGGACGTGAAAAATGCGTTTAACACGGCCAGGTGGGATATAATTATTGAAGAGCTGGAGAGAAGAATACAGAAATATTTACTCAACATCATAAAGAGTTATTTCTCCAAACGGGTGGTTCTTACTGGCAGTGGTTACAGTAAGATAGTCAGTATGGGAGTTCCACAGGGGTCAGTTTTAGGACTTTTTTTGTGGAACGTCATGTATGATCCGGTCCTCGCTATCGATCAACCCAGTGGCGTCTATACGATAGCCTTTGCGGATGACTTAGCCATTGTGTCTATAGGTAAAGCCAAGAGACTTGCAACGGTAGCCGCTGAAAATATAAGGCAGTGGATAGAAAGTAGAAGGCTGGAGCTGGCTCCTGAAAAGACCTGTGTTTGCAGACTGACCGGCAGAGCAAAACTGGTAGGGGCTTTGGAGGTCAACATTCTGGGAGTTATTATGATAATGATTATGATGACTGTAATTACGATTTAGTTAAAATAAATTTAATAATGTGTTAAGTATTAATATGTATTAATGAACCCTAATAATTCATTCACAGTTATTTTTCTTAACTGTTCTATTTTTCTAATAATATTATAACAACCAAGACGGCAAAATTTTGGTTATTAGTTTCTTAAATTAATTTTCTTCTTTATATTTTTTATAGCACAATTATGTTAGAAATTATAATCAAAAAGTCCGCATTTTACTACTCTATCGTAAAGGCGTACTTAGAAACAGTCTGTGACCATTAAAGCTGAGAAATTCGACCTCGGAGATACTAAAACGAACGTAAAATCGTCGTTGGGAAACGTAGCAATGCTCAGAATTAAAATCCAATTTTTTTAAATAATTTAACAAATATCTACTTCTTTTTAACCATTTTTATTTAACTTTTTTAGTCACTACATTTGATACAAAAATGCAGTTTATTTTATGTTTTTGTTTAGTTATTTCAAAAGATACTTTTTTTTCAAACGTCACAATATCCATGTATTCATGCATGGTGGGCGGAAAAGCCACCATAAAAGCTCTCTAGGGTGGGGATCCTTGACAGTTCTGTTTGACGGTTCATTTGACACATTTGAAGTTGATTTGAAATTTTGTGGATTTGTCAGTCTTTACGGAGCTTATTTTATGTTATTTATTATTTATTCTACTACTGATAGTTGTATAAAGGTAGTAAATCTAGATGGAAATTGTGGCAGAACTTAAATTAACAGTGACACTATCGCGATTTATCGAAAAAGACTCTAAAATAGTTGGTTGTGTAGCGTGCGGTAGATCTCGGCAAAAATCGAGTGAAATAATGGAACAACTTTTCGCTAGTAAGTGCCTATATAATATACATACGTGTAGTAAACCGATCATTTATAAAATTCACTTAAATTAACTAATTATATATTTTTTCTTGCGTTTTTGCTTTTATTTACTACTTGTCAAAGATTAGATGACAAAGAATTTAGATACGTCAATTTGACTTACCTGCTTCAGTAGCGTATCGGATGTTTATGGTTATAAATAATTATTATAACTTATCTATTTTTATTAGAATTTTATATTTTTATAACAATTTTAATAACTACCAACATTTATTCACAACGTAAAATAAAACAACAAATTATTGAGTCTACCCCACGTCTACCCTACATCATAGTTTTACATTTTTTAAATAAAATTAGAACGACACTGATAAGCCGGAATTTAAGTCGGCCATATTTGAGGCCCATCGCGGTGTACCTAAGATTTTTGATATGCTCCTTCCTTAGTCTTCTTATTCAAAGTTAAACTGACATAAAGTGTCAAATTCAACGAGCGTAACCATAGTTTCTCGATATATAATTACATACAAGGTATGACTTTTAAATCCTTTCATATTATTTGGAACGTCTGGAATAGTTTAAAAAATTATTTGTGGCGTTTTGAAAAAAAAATAGTATGTTGTATTCGGAGTTAAAATGACTTTTTGTGCCTCGGCTGCATCATTTTTCCTCCTTATGATGTAATATACTATATTAATATAACGTAGTATCATATTTCTTCTCTTTACTTAATATTTCCTTGACTTTTTTTTATATATTCTTGTAACCATATACGGTGTCTATCGTATTTCTAAATGCGTACGTTTATTTAGATAAGATAATTGAACTGTCATCTGGATAGATATTGACATGTTTATTTAGGCAAAAGAAAATATTTTTATACAGAAATTGAGAAAAAAATCAGACTCTAAAAGAACTATTTTAAGAAAGTGTGCAAACAAAGCTAAAACACATATTAAATTATTAAGAATTTGCTGGTACGTAGAGTAGAAAGGTTCAACTAGTTTTTTTCTTAGAAATAAAGGTGATTCATAACTAGGCAAGTTATGAAAGAGAGTAAAATCGAAAAAAAAGTTTATAATAATATAGTGTCTAATGTTGTATAGATAATGAATGGTACGGAACCCTTGACCAATTTTTTATACATATTAAAACAAAAACATTTAAAATTCTTCAGAATAAAACACTCTACAAGCAAGTTTTTACAACTAAACAAATATTGTATTTTTTATGGGTTACTTTAGAACCTTCTCTCGTCCCCTGTTAATTACAAATTGTTTTTAAACTTGTCACTGGGACCCTTTCTCTGAATAACTCGCGTGTTTTCCACCAGTTTCTCATTAAATTGGTTTAATTATCGGAAGTGGTCGAAAGCCTTTTAGCGATATGGGTCTCGGGATTAAATTCTCGGTCTATTTTTAGCTTTGAATAAAAAGACTAAGGAAAGGAAGGACTATAACGATATCCATGTATTCATGTATTAGAGACGGAATAGACACCATAAACCCCCATTTTTGACCGTTCTTTTTGACTTTGTTTAAGAGAGTGATAACATAAAACAAAAGCAACAATTAACTGACTCTACCCTACATTATATTTTAACAGATAAAATTAGAACTGCAGTGATAAACCGGAAATAAAGTCAGCCATTATTATGAAGTACTACCATACGATCGAAAAAAAATCGGCGTCAAAGACGGCTGGAGCGTTTTAATTGATAATAATTTGGGCGAGGTGAAGATTTAGAAGTTTATTTACTTGGCCCGTACCCTTCTCCAATTTTTAAGGGCGCTTATTACGCTGTGCTGTTCAGGGGTCGGGTAAAGCGGGTATATGGCCGAAGGAAATATATATTATATTCTAGAAATCTGCCTAAGGGCTCGAACTCACTGACGACCAGGTCGCAACGACCTGGCCGTCGGCTGGCCGGATGTATTGCGTTCTTAGCTGCGGCCAGATGAACGACCAGTTTCAACAGACTTGTTAAATCTAACGATCTTTTACTTTTTACCAATTAGAAAATATTGTTTCAGAAATGTTAAAATATCCGAGTTAACTAAAAAGCGAAGTTGCTATTTACAACAAACAAAAAGCATTGTGTACGCGCGACCGACAAAAAGGGAGATATTCTGTTTCTTTTTTCTACTGATATGGCGCCCTTATCGACTATAGAAGTAAACACATTAGGGCCATCGTAAAAAAAAGATCGTCAGACACTGGCTCTAAATATAAGCAGGTAGAAAGTT